CAATCCCTAATGTTCTGTGATTCTGTTGGAATTTTGCCAAATGCTGTAAAGGAAAATCTCTGTATCTCACTCAGTGTGCTTTAATGTCCATTTGAACACTTTTTTTTTTTTTAAAACAACAACGTAGCTGAACATGCAGACTTCAGGAGGTAGATAAATGCTATGGAGACCTTCACATACATTACGCGTCATTTGTGAGATCTCATTTTACTGCTGTGTAAATATAAGAGGATATGAAACATTGATTTTTCTCTTGTATTTTCAGCATAACCAAGGCAGATTATTCAAAGTGTAGCAATGTATTCCAAGATCTAAAGAAATCTGGTAGCTCTTTGTCAAGCAGCGGTCAGACAGGTGAGAGGGATTTCATGTTTCTAGATCTTTGTGTGTATAGAAATCAATGACACAAGTTTGGAGAGATTGGCATTTCAATTGTCTTTGGGAAAACGCTGACCTTAGCACTTTAACAGTGAATCTGAACATTTTGAGTGCCTTGGGGACCTGTTGTTTTTTATATGAAGTTTACATATGACCAAGTGTCATTGAGTGGGATGCCCATTTCATTTACTTTTACTTACGTTTATTTACACGATGTGTCTGTTGGAAAAACTCCCAAATCCTAACTGCTGCATGTGGTTTTCTTGTGTTCATCCTGTAGGTTATTTTAGTGGCATGCTTTAAACTGGGGAGAGGGAAGCAGGACAGTCTTGCTGAATCAGCTCCATGAAACATAGCAAGCTTAGCTACACAGAGAGGAGAGCTTTAGAAAATGCATATAACTCCGTAGGTGTTACTGAATAAGTTGAGAATTGATTGAAGGATGAATTTTTAACTATCTGGTCTTCCTTTGATCACTTACCAAAATTAAAACAAAACTAGGCAGTAAAATAAATAAAATATATTAAAACAAAAACAAGGTATTGTCAAAAATATTTACAATTTCTGGGAAAGGAATTGTACAAAAATCTAGAAACCTGAATTGCTTTTGGATTTAAATGAGCATTTTTAACTATTATTCACTGAAGTGCCTTTTTAAAGGTAGATGACAAAACGAACAGTGGGTCAAGTGATTTGTTAATCAAGATAGTTTTGCCTTTTGATCATTGTATTGGTGAATTGTTTATTTTTAGTTCTTCAGAGTGGGTTCTGCATTTTTCCTGGCATGCTTTGTGATTGAAAGTTAGGAACACACTCCATCTTTCAGTAACTGACCTCAAAACTGAGTTAGGAATGATAAATCTTGTTGTTATAACAAAATCATTACCCTTTCTAGGCTTTCTGTATTCATGGACAGCTTGTATTTGGTTGCTGTTGTATCAGTTTCATTTTCTTTTAAGATAGTTCTGCAAAGTTTCAATATTTAAACTTTGTTACTTCTCTGTTTTGAGAAAAGTTAAACTGGATGTTCATTACATAATTACTTACACCCCTACATTATTAACTTTTATGACAAAACAAATTTGTAAGTTTGCACTTCGCTGCTGTCATGCTATGTTACAGTTTTCCATTTTGGCTCAGAACGATTGCATATGTAAAGCCAGACTTTCCTATGAGGTACGTGGCTTCTTTGCATCAGTAGTTCAGGTCCCCTTGACTCCAAGGTGGTATATCTAAGCCTTGGAGAGTTGCTCTAGTGAAAAGGGAGGCTTCTGGCAGGCATAAAAGCTCCTGTCAGCATCATAGCAACCTTTGACTGTCCCTCAGTCCCTTAAGGTTGGTAGTAGCTGTTATAATTGCAAGGAAGTCCCATCACAGCTCAATGGAGTGAGTCTTGTAGGAATAGAAACTTTAATATCTATGTCCTCTTCAGAGCTCTATCAAGTATTTTTGTTTTCTATGTATGGACTAAAAGCTTTCAACAGTTACGGATGGAAAAAAGTCTCAAAAGCTAAGCTTTTAATTAATGCATGCTCAGGTCTGATATATTTAACTTCTGTTTTGAAGCTTCTGTACTATGCTTTGTATATGTTGTACATGTATACGTTTGTATATGTATGTTGTATATATGCGAACTTATTTTGTAATTTTCACACATGTATTGACCAAAGCTTAATAGTTCTGAAATGTCTTTAACCTTTATCATTTTGCAAAGTGTAGTTGAGAAAAAGAAAGCACAGAGCCAAAATAACCATGTAACACCACAGTTTGAGGGCATAGGTGGTCTCATAACTGTATTTTATATGTGTAAGTTCAACAAAGCGTGCATCCCAGCACATTACCATTATTTCTTTTCCCTTCATACAGCTTCTTTAGGAGAAGGGGAAGAAACCTTTGACATGAAGGCTGAGCCTACGATGAATACATCATTAGCTGAAGTGGATTTGGATGAGTCACCTTCGGATAATTTCAAAAAAGAATTGAGACTGCAGAATTCTATCCCCATAGAGAAAGAGCAACAGTGTTTACAAAGCAATGGCTGTTGCATTGGTCCAGGCTTTGCAGAAGGAAATGTAGAGCCAGAGGAAAAGGCCATGATAAAGATAGCTGGAAACAGCTACCTTGTGTCTCCCAGACTACCTGACTTTCATGGCTGTAGTCCTGGTTGGAGTAGCGCATTTTATGGAGCTGAATGTTTTGATTCAGAAGTTCGTAGTTATATGAAAAGGCTTGGAAAGCAGAAATCAAGTGAGTCACAAAATATAGATGCTAAAAAAGTGGTGAGTACATTGATTTAAAATCATAAAGATACCCTTTTACTTGCTGGTTAAAAGTATGATATTATTTGTTGTGTTATAACCCCCTTTCTTCTTTCAAATACTCTTAAGTGTTTTAAAATCCTCAAGATTTGTGATGTTTTACCAATAAACCAAGGTAAAGGTAGTATTCCAAAATAAAGAGTACTGACATGAAATTGATAATCACTGATGTACAACCCATTTTCTCTTCCTGAATTTGTCTGGCAAAGTATCATCTGCCATACGCACCAACCCCATGGTGGTAATAGTACAGAAAAGAGCTAAGAATGGCTGAGTGGTGTGAATCATAGGCTCTTGAGAGGTCCTCCCTGTCATGTGCTCTGAACCCTTCTCCTTGGGCACAGTGAATTCTCTGACAGTTTCTCAGCAGAATAGCAATTATTTGCTGACATCAGCTCTTAGAGACGGCTAATCATCGAGATGAGTGCAGCTTTGTGCCTTTTAAGCAGCATGGGTAGAGGAGTGGTTTGTTTTAGATTAGCAGGGTCTTCCCTTGAAGATCATAGTGATCTCATTTACTTCATTTTTACATTTGTGCTTCTAGCTATAACAAACTTTAGTTAGTAAATATTTTTGTAAATATTTCAAGTCCAATGCGATAAAGTAAGGATAATAGATGAAACTGTGGTAATCTGTATAGTTGGAGCTGATTCATGGGAAGAGAATAGAGAAATTGAAGTAAATTAGTTATTAATACTGGAAGACATGTTAGTATAGGGACACTTGGAGTCTTTTTGTGTCACTGAGAATTACTAGTTGTCTAGTTTGTGTATCCTACACATTCTGTGTAGCCAGATGTATGTTTAATAAGGATGAAGCAGGAGTTGCAATGCTCTTGTAGATTTCTTTACTATGGGCAGTTAGTTGAATTTGTTGCTTTATTTTTAAGTGAGCATGACATAGTAGAACTGAACAGCTGAGAACACAGTCTAGATGTTTTTGTTTCCACATAGCCAGTTTAAATCTCAATGGATCTATCTACATACATGTCTTGTGACGGACTGGGACCTCACTTCTGTTTTCAGTGAAAAACATAATTATTTTTCTGTTTATTAGGCAAGTTAAAGCCTGAATCACTGAGGATGTTGTATTTATTATTTTGCTCAGGTATAACTCTGTAGGAGAAAATAGCATGAGAAATTTCAGCTACTATCGAGTTGTGTAAAAATAAATAAAATAAAAGTTAAAAAATAAGATTTCAAGACTGACACTCTTAAAAATTTACATCTACTCAAAATTTTTTCTAATCCTATAGGGTTGTTTAATCCTGTGTAAGCATGCCAGCTAGAGAAAAATGAGCTTCCATAATCTCCCTTACTTGAAGGACTAATTCTTGATTGAAGAACAGATTTTCACAAATAAGGAGTTTTCATAAGCATCTAAATAGATTTTTCTGCTTCAACAGTCAGTCTTTTTTACTTAGAATTTTTTACAGGCTGCTCAGCAGTTTAGTTTGATGCAAAAGGATGAATTATCTTCTAAGTACTTTGCAATTATTAATAATTAATATTAATAATTAATAATTAAGCTATGATTCAAAAAAGGTAATATGTACTCTTATGTTTGGAAAAGTGAAATAACTAGCATAAAGAATAAAATATTTATGGATCAAGGTGACAGTTTCAAATGTCTTAAAAATAATTAATGCTTTACTGTGTGCTTGTCAGGTAGTTCATTGCAGTTCTTAAGGTCAGCTAAGGTTAATCTGCATTTAGAAAAGTTAGGCAAGCAACTCTATGTTCCCTGCCTCATCACTTCTAGTCCAGGAGCTGCTGAATTTGCACCCTCATACAGAGTACATCAAGGCAAAGCAAATCAAGTCCTTGCAGCAGAGAAAGAAGGGAAGGCAGCTACCAGGGCTGCCATTTCTCTGGGGTGTTGTCCAGATCTGCCCTCACAATGCAACAAGCACTTTTTCTGTAGTCTGATAAGCTTAATTTCAGTTCTCTTGCAGCCCCAAGCCTTCACCCTTATCCTTTGTCCCTTTTTACTCTTTGCCTGCACTAGGTTTCAGTTATCCCCCAGATGTCATAAGCTACTTGTAAGAGTCTACACCAAACTTCAGTGCACCCAAGATGTGACTGATGTTTCTAGTGAAGGTTTTAAGTATTTTGGCCACAGTTTTCCTTTTTCCATTCCTTTTTTTTTTCTTTAACACCCTTTCCCTTCTTCATCCTTTGGTGGAGCCACCCTTCAACATGTAAAAAATGTATGCTTCAAGGGTAGATTGGAATTTGCGGTATTCCCAAGTAAGCAATGTCACTCTGTCATTGCTTTCTTCCCTAGAAGAAAGGATGTTCTATGTACAGTGTCCTTACAAATTAAATGCACTTTGGAGGAAGCAGAACAGTTGAATATATAGCTTCATCAAAAATGTTTCTATTTTACACCTACCTAAAATGGAAGATCAAATAATCATAGAATGGTTTCAGTTAGAAAAGACCTTTAAGATCACTGAGTCCAACCATTGATCTAACCCTACTGAGTCTACCCCTAGACTATGTCCCTAAGCATGACATGTACTTGTCTTTTAAACACCTCCATGGATGGTGATTCAACCACCTCCCTGGGCAGCCTGTTATAATGTTTGACAACCCTTTCAGTAAATAAGTTCATCATAATATCCAACTGAGGTCATTTACACTTGTCCTGTCACTAGCTACAAGGGAAAAGAAAGCCATCTCCACCTTGCTACGAGCTCCGGAAAGGAGGTTGTAGAGAATGATAAGGTCTCTTCTGAGCCTCCTTATCTCCAGAGTAAACAACTCCAGCTCCTTCAACTGCTTCTCATAAGACCTGTGCTCTAAACCTTTCACCAGCTTTGTAGCCCTTCTCTGGACATGCTCCAGCATCTCTATCTCCTTCTTGGAGTGAGGGGCTCAAAACTGAACACAATATTCAAGGTGTGACCTCACCAGTGCCTAATACAGGGAAAGGATCACTTCCCTAGTCCTGCTGGTCACACTATTCCTGATGCAGGCCAGGATGCCATTGACTTTCTTGGCCACCTGGGCACACTGCTGACTATCAACACCCCCAGGTCATTCTCCTCCAGGCAGCTCTCCAGCCACTCCTCCCCAAGTCTGTAAAGTTTCATGGGGTGATTGTGACCCAAGTGCAGGACCCAGCACTTAGCTTTGTTGAACTTCATGCAGTTGACCTCAGCCCATTGATTCAGCCTGTCCAGGTCCCTCTGTATAGCCTGTCTACCCTCAGTCAGATCAGCACTCCCACTCAACTTAGTGTCATCTGCAAGCTTACTGAGGGTGCACTCAATCCCCTCGTCCATGTCATTGATAAAGATATTAAATAGAAATGGCCCCAGTACTGAGCCCTGGGGACACCATTTGTGACTGGCTGCCAGCTGGATTTAACTCCATTCACCACAACTCTTTGGGCCCGGCCATCTAGCTAGTGTTTTTCTCAGTGAAGCATATGCCAAGCCATGCACAGCGAGCTTCCCCAGGAGGATGCTGTGGGAAACGGTGTCAAAGGCCTTACTAAAGTCCAGGTAGAGAAGATCCAGAGCCTTTTCCTCATCCACTAAGCAGGTCACAGCAGATGTTGTGAAATAGACTGGGAATTTGCTGCTGACTTAATTGCCACTCACCTGAAGTTATTTAGGAAACAAACCACTACCATCCATCAGATTCCAAATGTCAGAAAATTGCCACTCTTT